GAAAGAGACAAAGAGAGACAGAGAGAGACAGAGAGAAAGAGACAAAGAGAGACAGAGAGAGACAGAGAGAGCCTGGGCCCTCCGTCAGCCCCCAGATGGAGAGTCAACAGCCCCCAGATCTGGAGATGGCTGATGAGGAAGAGGAGGAACAGCGGGGTCTAGTGCAGTGTTTTTCAACCTTTTTTGTGCAAAGGCACACTTTTTTCATGAAAAAAAATCACGAGGCACACCACCATTAGAAAATGTTTAAAAAACATTTTCTATATATATGCCTATATTGACTATATATAAAGTGTTTTTCCCACGGCACACCTTACACTATGTCACGGCACACTAGTGTGCCGCGGCACAGTGGTTGAAAAACACTGGTCTAGTGCCTGATGCAGGGATGCGCAGAAGGCAGAGGAGAGGAGAACAGCGGAAATCTATGGGCCGGTTCTTGGGACGGAAGAGTCACGGCTGCTGGAGAAGCCCCACCCTAACTCTGGGGATCAAAGGCAGGGGGTGGAGATGAATAGATGCAGCAGAGAACTTGTTAGCCTGCGAGATAAACCTTTTGCCGGATCTGCTGGTGATCCTAATAAAGGAATATTCGAGTTCACTTCAGAATGTCGAATGTCGTCTTTGGGGAGCTGGGCCAGAACGGGAGACAGCTCCTCTCAAGGACCATTCCATGGGCCTCGCTTGTTATGTGGTAGGCTTGAGGTCTCATCACGAGACAGAGGAGACACAGTCGCCCCATTTTACAGGGCTACTACTGCCGTCACCCCAAGAAGTGGCAAGGCAGACCAAGCAGAGGATTCCTCCTCTCTTCCTTCTTGCTGGCTTCCTCTTGTTTTCTTACCTGAGGGATCTGAAAGTTCCTCATAGCTTTGACTGTCTCCCACGTCTTGTTGCTCGTCCCGTACCCCCAACGGCAGAGGTGGAACCCCAGCCCCCAAAAGGGGGGCATAGCCGGAAAACCTGAAAGTGAAAGGGTGGAAACGCAACACATCAGCCTCTCTAGTCAGATAGGATTCTGCTGGGCATAAATTACGTTTTTCAGACTATAAGACGCACCGGAGTATAAGACGCACCAAGATTTTGAAGAGATAATTTTTTTAAAAAAATGTTTTTGCCCTCTGCAGGGCTCCCAAACCCTCTGCACACCCCATTTTTTGTGAAAAACGGGGCATGCAGAGAGTTTGAGAGGCCTGTAAAGTCTCCTGGGAGGTGGGGAGGGCAAAAATGAGCAAAATCCAGCCAGTTATTGTGAAAAACAGGCCCTTTTTTGCAAAGAAACAGGGCATGCATAGGCTTTGGGAGGCTTGTAGAGTGCTCCTGGGGTCTGGAAAGGGCAAAAAGGAGCAAAACCTGGTCCATTTTCCACTCATTTTTGCCCTCCGCAGCCTCCAGGAGCACTCTACAAGCCTCCCAAATCCTTTGGCCCTGTGCGTCCCGTTTTTGTGAAAAACGGGACGCACAGGGCCAAAAACACTGTATTCAGTGTATAAGATGCACCCAGATTTTCACCTTTTGCAAGGGGGGGGAGGTGCATCTTATACTCCAAAAATACAGTAATGTCATTTTCTTTCTGCGTGTTTTTTTTTCCTTTGTTTTTTTTTTTAATCTTGGTGGGGCTTTCCCCCTATTTCTCTGTCGTTATTTTAAAACTCACAAAAGAAGAAATGTCACTCATGAAGGTTCCCCTGGCAGAGAAACACAGCCAACAAAAACAGCGCCGTTGTTCCTGAACTGTGGTCTCCAAATTGCATTAGCTTTGGAAGGTTTCTCAGATAAGAACCCAAAACCACCAACGGAAGACGAAGCTGGAAGGCAGGGCTGGGCTCCAAGCATGAGTGAGTGAAGTCTCCTTATGGGCATCAGGTGGTCCTGCGTAAGTCTCTGAGCCACAAGGACACAGGACTTCCTGTTCAGGCCTGCAGTTTTCTGGCCTGCCACACTTTCTATTATTCTACCCTGCCTTTTTCTATGGTGGGAAAATGGGAAGGGGGAATAGTACGGAGTTAGATGATAGGTAGCCATAACAACATTCTTTCTAGAAAGCCAAGGTCATCCTTTGTCTCTGCACCTAGCCGGAACTGGATAGGTAGAACTGCCAGCATGACAGTGGGAGATTGGACCATGGGATGGACTGGTGGGTGTGAGGCCAAGATCTTGAACTTTCAACGGGGTGGGGAAAATTGGGAAGCCTTCAGATCCGGGTTTCCCCAGATGTGCCAACATGGCTCTCTTCATCAATGGGAATTTTCAGCAATACTTTGCCTCAGACTCTGGACTTATTTTTGGATGCTATTTGGAACCCTGACACTTCCCCAACTAGGCAACCTACATTCTGTATGCTTGCACCCCCCACCCCTCTCACCCCGCCTCAGCCAAGCTTCCTTGGCTCCTGTTGGATGTTTCCAGCTGGTTCTGAAGCGATGGAAAAGCTTTTGCCACCGTGCTTCTGGATACTCACCGATCACTTGCTGGTATTGCTGGACCACCAAGTTGGGATCCGGTCCTAAAAAGATGTAAAAATCCAAAATTCCCCCAGTGGTTCTCCAGGTGAGGGCAGGAGCAGGCTGAAGGGCCACCTCTGGACCACAAAGAAAGAAAGAAGAAAAGATTAAACATTAAACCTTTCAGTAGACATTCTGGGTTGTGGCACCATGAAGAGCTGATGCTTACTCACTTCGAAAGCATCTATATCTATCTATCTATCTATCTATCTATCTATCTATCTATCTATCTATCTATATATATATATATATATATATATATATATATGTTATATTTGTGCTGATAAATAAATAAAGGGAGACTAGTATAGATCTATTTCAAGCTATTTAGCTCTCATCAGCTAGCCATACCCTTGCTGGGAATCGAATATTTGGGCATACCGGGGGTTGTGACTTTAAATAGATAGATAGAT